ATTGTCTGTTATTTTAGTCTCTGTGTCAGCACTGGCACACTCATATTAGACTCTATATTTAGGCAGGCGTCATCATGTAATGATGTCATTAGTTTTGGTGTTGTTTCAGTAGAAGAAGAGAAGTGTGAGGACCTCCAGTGAAGTCCATCCATCTTTATTTCTTAGCTATGTAATGACTAACATTGTATGACAATACAAATAGTTTGCTACATTTGTGGTTATTTTTTGCGATGGATCATCCTTTTGATTCTTATTTTAACTTTGTCAGCCTTTTGGAAGCTAACCTTTAGCATTTTTGTTATTTATTTTAAACACCTATTTTGTTATAGTCTGTTTTTCTTTCAATTTCTGTCAAGTTCTTTAATATTCCAACATTTACTTTAGATTAGACTATTGTCATGATACTACATTTGTCATGATTTTTTTTTTACCAGACGTCTGCGTCACTTTTCTATGTACAGAAAAAAAAGCACATTTACCAGTGACGTACAGTAAAGCTTCATTACTGTGTGTTTCTCAGCACAGAGAGAATGTGACATGTTGTTTGTGCGGTCGACAGCTTCAGGTCTGACCTTTAAACACCCAGAGACTGTGTGTGTCATCCAATCTTCTTTGCAAGGACTGGAAAGATACCGGCTGCTCTCCGTGTGAGTGTGTGTTTGTGTGTGTGTGAGAGAGAGACAGAGGTAAACAAGTGACAATAGGCCGTGATCAGACATGGATCAGGGATCGAGTGTCATATTAGATCCTGCAGTGACAGATGCTCAGACAGAGGGCAGACGTGATGTTTATCACCATGTTAAATCCTGTGAAACTGCTTCCAGGGGTAAAAATTGTTGAGGTAGCAGTTGCATTTAAAAAAATATAAAATTAATTTTGATGAAGTAATATTTTCACCTGTATTTTCATCCATATGCCATACATATTTCATTAATTCATATGTTGCTAAAGGTGTGCCAAAAAGCTCTAAAAATGTCACGGATTTGGTTTAAAGTTAGCGCCTAAAAAGCTCACAGTGAGAAAAAGCTGAAGGTTAGCACAAGCCATATTGCTAAAATAAGCTTTATTGCTATTTTATTTTTTTCACGATTACATTCAGTGATAATTTGTCAAATGCAGCTCGTGGTTAGTATTGCGTTTAAAAATGCATCAAAGCTAAAAGGTGGATGTGTAAGAATGTTAACATGTGGTGCAGTACTTGGTCCTGTCTGACTGTGTGTAGACCGGCTGCTCTCCGTGTGAGTGTGTGTTTGTGTGTGTGTGTGTGAGAGAGACAGAGGTAAACAAGTGACAATAGGCCGTGATCAGACATGGATCAGGGATCGAGTGTCATATTAGATCCTGCAGTGACAGATGCTCAGACAGAGGGCAGACGTGATGTTTATCACCGTGTTAAATCCTGTGAAACTGCTTCAACATACATACAACATAGCTAACATACTGTACGTAGCTAACCTTACACACAGGTAACGCAGCATCTCTCTGTCATGCTGCTGTTACTGTTGATGTCATGTTTGTCCAGACTCGTACTGGTGAGGCTGAAAAGTGGGCCACGTCACATCGCTGCTGGGTGTTGCTAAGCAGAAAATCCGTTAGTTGCAGCTGTAGCTCAATGATAAACTGAGGTTTTCACTCACAGGTACCGTTTGCTGTCAACGGAATAAATAACCCCTCATTTGTCCTTTTTCAGAAAGTGTTTGAATTTGAGTCTTTGGTTTTTCCTTTTCAGCAGTAATATTTCCCACCGCTGTAACAATAAGCACAGTTTATCACTAATCGAGGATTTGAAGAGATTTGTTACCGACGGTTCCTGGTACCTGCTGTCTCAGAATTTGAAAAACTGGATCAGAAATTAACTGGAGCAGGAAGTAGAAATGTCCAGCCATTTGTGTCATAATTTTTTTTTAATGCCAGCCTACAAATGATCCTGTAATGTACAGTCAAATATATTACAGTCAAATGATAGTTGAATGCTAGCTTAACAAGTATATTTAGATAAAAAAAGACTAATATTTGGATTAATCTTCAGTTGAAACAGAATACACAAATATCTGCCAAAAATAGGTAAAAAAAAGGCTTTAAGACAGAAAAGCATAAAAAGGAATGTGTTTAGGATTGTGTAATAATCTTTAGCTAATGCCTAAAATTTCAGTCTGTCTTTCTCCTCTTGTGTCCCTGCAGGCTAACTGCTGTTGCAGTGCGTGGCGCTGAATGTCTTCTGCCATGGCGAAGCGGGAGGCTGGGAGCACCAGCCCGGTGGTCCGGCAGATAGACAAACAGTTCCTGGTCTGCAGCATCTGTCTGGATCATTACAGAAACCCCAAAGTCCTGCCCTGCCTGCACACCTTCTGTGAAAGGTACGGTAGCTAACGTCTCTTTGGTCTCTTTGGTTCAGTGGACGCCGACTCACACCGTCCGGGTCCTCCCATCCTATCAGACACATTCCTGTCATTTTTATGCGTCTCCATGTAGAAGAAACTCATTTATTTCAAAATCCCTGCTCACAATTAGGCAGCTCTGCTGGCTGCTCCTCACTGACTCCACTGGGATAATTACATTCCTGAGCATCAGCCTCAGCCACTGGCTCCACTCTGACACAAAAAATGTCTTTGTCTGCAAAGGCCTTTTTACAGTATTTGAGCTCGTACTTGCTCAGAAAGATGACGTCTACCTCCTCTGGTCACACATTCGGTGTCTCGTTAGTCAGTGTAGAATGTGGAAGAAAGAGGAAAGATGGGATTGTTTTTCAGACCAATTATCATTAAAACAACAACGCAGTTTTAAGGCCAAGTCCTTCAGTGCAGACATGACGACATCTGTCCACTAGAGGTCAGATTAAATCCCTGGTTTACCTGGATGAAGTGCTGTTCTAGGACTGTGTAAACACGTTTTGGAAAGGGATGAGAATACTGTTTAAATGTATTAGAATAACATCTTTATGTCACGAGAAAATGGGTAGAAAATTTGTAAAAAGTAAATCTCTAATATAGATATAAGACAAAAAAAATTGTATAACTCAGCACATAAACAAATGTATTTTAGTTGGCACCAGCACAACAACATAGTGTCGCTGTAGAATGTGGCCAGAAGAGAATTCACCAACTGTTACAAATAAAAAAAAAAAAAAAAAAAAAAAAAATCACTTGACTGGAAACTTATAAGAGGTGAGACAAAGACTTTGACCTGACTGCAGATCCAGTCTATCTTATAAATTCAACACTATGGTGTTGGTGTGCTGCCCGTGCACCTCCAGTGTTCAGCCACAGGGCGGCGACCACGGAGGCTGTGAGGCAGAAACACTGTCAGATCTGCATACTCTTTTCTGCTGACTCCAGTTTGAGGTTCTGGCTCAAAAATGTGTGACATATAAAAAGCGCCCCCTCAGGACATTTGAAGCTAATGATCCTCTTGTTTTATTGAGACCAGTGGGAGAGATTTGTAACTGCTGTCAGGACCAGGATCCACCTGCTCCTTATGTGTGTGCCACACAAATATGCAGAGACAACAGTGATGTCGTATAATTTAATTATTCATATTTACTTCTCTCCTCAGTTGTCTGCAGAACTACATCCCTCCAGAGTCTCTGACTCTGTCCTGTCCTGTTTGTCGGCAGACGTCCATCCTGCCGGAGAAAGGAGTTGGTGCTCTTCAGAACAACTTCTTCATCACCAACCTGATGGAGGTCTGATTCTCATTCTGTTCCTTCAGCCTAGAAGGTCAAATGCTAATGCGATTATCACACAAAGTGGTCGTGAATGAGGCGAGAAACATGAGGGGAACCGAAACGTGAAGTAGAGCGGGGTTCACTGAAACACAGGAAATTAAAACTGAAGGCAGTGAAAACAACTGGGAGTTAGTTTAATGCTGAGAAGCTTAAATTAGCTCAGACTGGCTAATTATTAGCTGTACAGTAACTAATAAACAGCTATGGGAGAGTAAAGATTCACAGATGTACAATTACAATATCAAGTTAAAAAATAATTTTGTAAGAAATGGCCTAAATATTTGGAGCCGATTAATTACAAATTATTTAATTTAAAGGGAAATCACTTTATCATTTAAAAAATGTTTATTTTTATATGGTCCCAGTGGTGTTGGAATAACTCCTAGTCTGATGGACTGAGGTCATTAATTCAAGGACTTTGCTGAAGTCTCAGCTGCAGACCTCAGTCACTGTATCTCCTCCTCCACTCCTTTAAAGTTTAAAGTTAATGAAGCATTAAATGTCTTGGAACAGGTCCTTCAGAGAGACCCAGAGTGTTCCAGACCCGAAGCCTGCAGTGTCCTGGAGTCGGTCAGTGCTGCAGCTGCGGGGAAACCTCTCTGCTGCCCCAACCACGAGGGCAAGGTGGGAGCGGCCGATCTCTGGTCATCAGCTCAGAAACCGACACTTACCAACTGTACAGTAGGAAATTCAGTGGCCGTTTGTCTCCCCCTGCAGGTGATGGAGTTCTACTGCGAATCCTGTGAAACAGCCATGTGCCTCGACTGCACGGAGGGAGAACACAGGGAGCACGTGACTGTCCCCCTGAGGAACGTTGTGGAACAGCACAAAGCCGCTCTGAAAACACAGCTGGATGCCATACACAGCAGGTGATTAGGAGAAGAGTTGAACTCTTCATCAGTGCTGAATTCTGGTACTGACAGGAAACATACTGGGTTAAAAATAATAAAAAATAGAAAACATATTTAAAATGAATGTCAGGATTTGGGACAAATAAACTAAAGAAAGTAAAAGTTTAGTAAATATTAAGCTAAAAGGTAAATAAAATGTAGTACTGAAATCAAATAGCATAAAGTAAAAGGGGAATAAAATTGCTAGAAGAAAACAAAAAATAAATTTAACTTGTAAAAAAAATTCTAAAATAACTAACATGGAAATATGGTGACTTTTTATTTTAGATAAAATAGATATAGACTTAAGAAAGATAGTAAAAATATCTATATTTTGCCAAAATGCTAACAGGTAGCTTTTGTTCTGCAATTTTTCCAAAACACAATTTTAAATTTGGCCATGTGAAAAGTTTTGGTGTGCCACCATTGGCCCCCTGGCCACAGTTTGTACCTGTCAATCATACATGGACTTTCTGATCATGTGACCCTGTCCGACGTCCACAGACTCCCACAGCTCACAATAGCAATCGAGCTGGTGAGCGAAATTTCCCGTCAGCTGAACGACAGGAAGAACGAGGCAGTGACGGAGATCAACAGCACCTTCGAAGAGCTGGAGCGTGCGCTGCACCAGCGCAGGACGGCGCTCATCACTGACCTGGAGAACATCTGCTGCACCAAGCAGAAGGTAGGACGATCTGACAGCCTTTTGAACTTCTTGATTTTTTTTTCTTCAATATTCTGATTTAGATTTGGGAACATTTTAAATTAATTTTACTACATTTTAGATTTTTTTTATTATTACAAAAAAAATTACAAAAATACAAATATATTTATAAATCCATAATCTATAAATTATTTATAAAATATTATTTTGCTCACTCAGACTCTACCTTACTTTAAGTTACTTCTCGATTTATTTTAAATAATTTTTTACAATTTATATATTTGATTTTTGTTTGTAATTATAGCAATTTTTGCGCTTGTTTTTCCCTTCTCGTATGTATTTCCCAGAACTGTTGTTGTTCCTATTTTTATTTCTTTTGGCTTATTCTTGGCTAACATGCAGCTAAATGTGGCATGTACTATTTTATAAGTATTTTTTTTTTACTTTCCCTGTCCAATCCTTCTCCTGTTTCCTGCAGGTTCTTCAGGCTCAGCTCTCGTCTCTGCTGCAGGGGAAGGAAAACATCCAGAGCAGCTGCAGCTTCACAGAGCAGGCTCTCAGCCACGGCACGGCCACCGAGGTGGGAGTCAGGAGTCACGTAGAAAAAAAAAAAAATCAAGAAAAGACACTGAGGACTTTTAACTGACTGTGTTTCATGGTGGCGTTTGCAGGTGCTGCTGGTCCAGAAGCAGATGAGCGAGCGAGTGACAGCACTGGCCCGGCACGACTTTCCAGAGAGACCGCAACAGAACGCTCACCTGGACTGTCAGGTAAAACCACAGCTCTGCACAACACGTTCATCTCATCACAGTATAGTTTAAGACTGATTAGCCTAAGTTTAGCTCGACTACATTTATATTGTTTTTATAGTAATAACATTTTTAATTAATTCTATCTAATTTGATATGGACAAATAAATGGAAATAAACTCAAGTTTGACTTGGATAAAGATATTGCAAAAATAGCTAAATATTAGCCAAACAAATGTCTTAGCTAAACCATTATATAGAACTTTATTAATCCCTTCAAGAAATTACAGAAAGATCTGAAATAATTATACAAGCATTACTTTAAAATATAGGAAAAAAACTACATATAAAACTTAGCTTTAGTTGACTGAGAGCTAAAAATTTTAGCCGTCACAGCAGAGCTATCTATGCTTTATGTTAAAACCAGTTCAAAGGTGACGGCTAATCGACAATAGCTACATTTTAGCATTAGCCATTTAAATTTATAAAATTTTACCCACAAAATACGAACAAGTTAAAAAAACAAAACAAACGTGATACGGTGGCCAATCATTGTTACATTGCAGCTAAAATGTAGCAAGAAAATAGAATACAATTAAGCTAAAAGACAAGTAATTGTTAGCTTGAAGTGCTCCTTATTGTTGGGTCCAAGTGGTTAAAAGTAATCTAGTATTCATTTGTTATTGTTTTTTTTAAATATTTTGCAGTGTTTAACTCGTAAACTCGTCCATGTTACAGGTGGAGACTGAAGGTCTGCGTCGCTCCATCCAGAACCTGGGTGTTCTCCTCACCACAGCAGCGGTCGCTCACACCACTGTGGCCACAGGAGAAGGTCTACGACACGCAGCCACCGGGCAGCAACAGACGGTCACCGTGACAACCAAAGACAAGGTAAGATGTTTGGATTTAGATTTAGAAGGATTCAAGATTTAATAATGTTTGAGGAAAATGTATGAAATGTATAAAAATAAGTCATAACAGACAGAAGTTGGTTTTTAAAATTTTTTTATTCATAATATTTTGGGGTAAAGGCATAGACCAATGAAAGTAAGTTAAACATTTACATCAATAAATGTTAGAGTTTACATTTAAAGTTTAAAGTGATTTTACTATGAAGATAAAACTACTGTAAAAAAGTTGTAAATTCACAAGAAAGAACGTTTTCAACTGATGAAACTAAATATTCAATTTTGGAGAAAAAAGTTGTAGGTTTACAAAAATAAAGTCTTAAATTGATAAGAATTGAGCCATAGTGACATCTAGAGGTTGATTATTTTAAAATGATTTCTTCCATTGATTTAACAGTTTTTTTTCTACTTCATCTTTTCCCTGAACCTCGGCGTCTTTGTCTTCAAACTAAATCTGTCCTCTCTCTCTCTGTGCAGGACGGAGAGCTGGTCCGAACAGGAAACGCTTTTCTAAAAGCCGAGATAACGTCCGCCGACGGCAGCAGAGCTGCGGAGGCGGAGATAACGGACAACAAGAACGGGACCTACGAGGTGGGCTACATGGTTCGCTCAGAGGGGGAGTACTGCTTCTCCCTGACCCTCTACGACCAGCCCATACGCGGCAGCCCCTTCAGGCTGCGGGCGGTGAAGCCCTCCGACGTTCCTCAGTCTCCAGACGACGTGAAGAGGAGGGTGAAGTCGCCCAGTGGGACGGGGGGGCACATACGACAGAAGGCGGTCAGACGACCCTCCAGCATGTACAGCACCACCAAGAAGAAGGAGAACCCCATCGAAGATGAGCTCATCTACAGAGTGGGTAAGACTGACGACGGCCATTCACAATGTCCATTCACAATGTTTATTCACAATGTTTATTCACAACATTCATTCACAATGTTTATTCACAATGTTTATTCACAACATTCATTCACAATGTTTATTCACAATGTCCATTCACAATGTTTATTCACAATGTCCATTCACAATGTTTATTCACAATGTCCATTCACAGCGTCTATTTACAACATTCATTCACAGCGTCTATTTACGTTATATTAAGTTATCTTTTATTAATATTTTACTATTTGGTGAAACTAGGGATTCTAGTTTACAGCTAACTGTTAACTCATTAAAGTTCAATGTTGTCTGTATTGGTGTTCACTAACAGTAATTCATTAGATAATGTAACGACTGCATCATTTAAATGTCAGGGTCCCGGGGCAGAGAGAAGGGAGAGTTCACCAACCTGCAGGGAATCTCAGCTTCAAGTAACGGCAGAGTGGTGGTGGCTGACAGCAACAACCAGTGTATACAGGTGACAACAGACAGACACAGACACAGACACACAGCCTGACAGACAGACACACACACAGACAGACACACACACACACAGACACACCAACATCACTGTAAGTTTCTTTCTTTTTTTTCCTCTTTTCTCACTCGTCCTCCTGTGATGATGTGACGACAGGTCTTCTCTAACGACGGCCAGTTTAAAATGCGCTTCGGGGTCAGGGGTCGTTCACCGGGGCAGCTGCAGAGGCCGACGGGGGTCACCGTCGACATGAACGGTGACATCGTGGTAGCTGACTATGACAATCGATGGGTCAGCATCTTCACCTGTGACGGAAAGTTCAAGGTTAGTCTGTCTCTGATGTCAAAGCTAAGCAGAAAATGACTGAATTAAAGTGTTGTTAAACATTTGGTGCAGATTCTCATTCACATAATGAATGTGGTTCCAGAATAAGATCGGTTCTGGTCGACTCATGGGTCCCAAAGGCGTGGCCGTGGACAAGAACGGTCACATCATCACCGTGGACAACAAGGCCTGTTGTGTCTTCATCTTTCAGTCCAATGGCAAACTGGTGACGAAGTTCGGGGGCAGGGGGACGTCAGAGAGACAGTTCGCAGGTGAGGACGACACTTTCATCAGGTTGATGACCTGTGGTTGTATTTTACAGATTTAGGTCAGTTTTAATTTCTAAATAATTATTGTAATCATTATAAATAATAATTTGTTGGTCTAGTTTGCATTAAAAGCCTAACCCTTTTCAGACTTTTTAATGATTAATTTTTGTACTTTAATTTATTTTAACCTGACAACCTGTTCACTTTTAACCCAAAGAAGTTGAATATTTTTTATATTAATTTAAATTGTATTATTTTTATTTAAACAAATTCACAGTTTATTTATTTATTTATTTTGTAAAGACTTAAACCTTTAAATACTTTTAGATGAAGCTCTAGACAACACAGGAGAACGCTTGCTAACACCCTCTCTCTCACACACACACACACACACCTGGTCCTCCACCTCCTTCTCCGCTCTCTCTTTCTCTCTGACCTTCTTTGTTTTTCTTGTCTTTCCTCCTCTGCCGACTGTTGTCTGTTCAGACAAACCTGGTCTAAACTGTAACAAATCTGCCTCAGTCTTCAGTAAGTACTCTGTGTGGCCTGACTGCAGCCTCTAATCCCACAATGCACTGCTCTGTGTCTAACCCCAAGTCCTCGTCTGTTGGATTAGTCTGTGCCTGAACGACACTGATCCAACATGTAACCACTGACTGTTGTCAAAACCACTGACTGTTACCACTGACAGGGCGTTTGTTCTGCACCTCAGCTCTAGAGTGAAGTGTCGTAAAGGATTGTTTTGTCGTTAAACTGTTTTTTATAAAAAAGGATCTAAAGTTTGAGTAAGAGTGAGTTAATAACCTCTACTTCTGAGATTGTTGTTTTTTGTTTTGTTTTTTTTAAAATAAAAGTTAGAATTTTTGTTGACTAACTTGTAGTATTTTTGGGTTAATTTATTACCAATGTTCATGTCTATCATTTAGCCAATAGTCTATTTTATCACGTTTTAGATTTTTTTTTTATTTGTTCCAAAATGTGACATTTTTGTCTAACTTTTATATAAAAAAGAATTTATATACATATACATAAGTTTTCATTGCGCTATTTTTGAGGCAACATTGCATTTTTAGAAATTTTGTAAACATTTTACATTTTTGCTAACTTAGCTAAGCTAAATCTAGGTTGATTTTGTTCATGGCTAATGGCTAAGCTAGTAATTTCTTCACTTTTGCTACATTTTTTACCTTTGAGCTACTGTTAGCTTTTTTTGGATTTAGTAAAAGAATGGACTTTTTAGTTTTTTTTGGAAACTTCTTTAGCTAAGTTAAGCTAATATGGCTAACATTGGATATATCAGGGTAACTTTTAAGCTGACTTTGGCATTTTATGATCATTAAAATTATATAATTATCTAATTTTGTTTTTTTGTTTAATTATGGCATGAGTTAAAAAATACAATTCTTAAAAATATATATATAAAAATCTCCGACTCACATTAAATCAGTGAATGAATCGACTCCTCATCTTCACGTCAACGTTCTTCTCTTCACATCCAGGTCCGCACTTTGTGGCTGTGAACAACAAGAACGAAATCATTGTGACGGATTTTCACAATCACTCTGTCAAAGTGAGACAAAAAAATAATAATTTAAATTTTTTAAAAATTCCATTTATCGAGTGGTCACATGACTTACGTGTTTGTGTTTGACCCCTGACCCTGGGTCTCAGGTGTATAGTGCCGATGGAGAGTTCCTGTTTAAGTTTGGTTCCCATGGCGAAGGAAACGGTCAGTTCAACGCTCCTACAGGTGTCGCTGTTGATGCCAATGGAAACATCATTGTTGCCAATTTAAATAATTTATAAATATATTTGATTAATATTGAGTTTTCTTTTGTCATGTTGTTATATTTACTATGACCAAGTATTAGTTATTTTTGTGTTAACTTTACATTTTCAACATGTCTTGCTGTCCATTATTATTATTATTGTATGAAACATTGTATGACCCCTTGTATTATATCAAGTCAAACACTTACATGTGTGTGTTTTCGTCAGGTGTTCGACAGCACGGGCTCCTTCTTGTCCTACATCAACACATCAGCCGACCCCCTGTATGGGCCCCAGGGCCTGGCCCTCACCTCAGACGGACACGTGGCCGTGGCCGACTCTGGAAACCACTGCTTTAAAGTTTACAGATATCTGCAGTAAAAGAGAAGCAACACAAACGATATTGGACATTAACAATACACACACTCAGAGCTGGAACATCGTTCTGAAAGGTTCCAAAAATCAGTTTGTTTTACTGGCAGAGATTTCAATTTTTTTATTGTCATTTTTTAATTTTTTTTTATCATTTTCCCTTTTAAGTTAATATTTTTCTCCTGAAGGTCAGGCCTCAGTTAAACTTCAGTTCTGTCACCTCCATCAAAGTGAGTACAACTGTGGATTCAAACATGGAACCAGATGTTTCAGCTCCGTGTGCAACAGGACTTTTCCTCAAGGTAAAATTCAGTCTATTTTTTTCCCCCACATACTTCAGTCTGTAACACTTCAGTCGACCAGCATCGTATTTTAGCCAAAGAATCTGAATCTTCTGGTCTGTTTCTGATGTCACCTGCTAATGTGCTTCACAAAATAATAAGTCTGGGTTATAAAAAACAAACTGTGGTTCTCAGACATCACTGGAGACTAAAATAAGTAACTTCACAAAAAAATATTAACTAATTTTCTTTGGACATTTGGCAGCACAAACCTGACCCTTATAAGCTACTTTAAAAAGCTGCACTGAAGCCAGACTCTGGTCCCAAACTCCCCAGACAGATTTTGATCTAAAACCTGAAGGTCGTGAACTCAGATCAGTCTCAGTGACGACACCAACAGACGACATACTGTACTGCATGTCTCTGATCGATTCCCTGCATGATTCTCTCCAACGCCCACAGTCAGAACTTTGCGCATGAAAACATGGAATGAGGTCACAGCCATAAAAGGTTGCACTTTTTTAAACGCCTAAAACAGACATTTGTCAAATCATGTTCTGTTTAAGGTCAGAATGAAAGACAAAACACAAGAGAAAATCTAACTTCATTCCCAGAATTCTCAGATTGATAAAAAATAGTTTTTTGTTCTGAAGAAACTTTTATGATCTAGATATCAGAAATCTGCCAAATTGAAAAAAATCTGCAATAAAAATAGTGATCATTAAATTCTTTGTAAAGATTCAGACAATCAAGTACAAAGAAAGGTGGAATTCTGGGGGAAAAAAGTCAAAATATTAACATCTAGAACTCTTTTTCCCATCAGCCCTGAGCTTGTTCTGTATCTAAAAGCACATCAGTTCTGCTGACATGACCTTCAGCTACTACTTCCTGCACTTTGATATTTACCAGCTCTTGTACATAGGCCTAATATTTAACTGTAAATAAGGATTTAATGTGTATAATATTCCACTCCATGTCCTACATATTCCAGCACACACTGCAGTGAATGGAGAGGTTTTAACACTGGAGTGTAAACAGTTACAGTAGAGCATCATGTGCCAAGGCAGCACGCCAAACATCACTGGATCAAATCACGTCCTGTGTTTGTTATTAGCTCTATGAATATTTTTATTTCAAGATTTATTAGAATTTTTTTTAATATAATTTGTTCTACATAGTTATTTTTCTAATTTCAAAGCCTCTCTTTGCCAAACATGGTTGTACATAAGCCTTAGCCGTCAGACACTGACAATGTTCAGCTCATACCTGTACGTCAGTGCGTTTACATGTGCATTTAAAAAAACAAAAAACAAAGACCAAGTCCTCTGAAGGTTGTGCATTTACAGTCCAGTCCAGTTTAGTCCAGTCCAGGTTTACAGAAACAAGGACAGAATAGGTTTCTTTATAGACATTTGTTTCTTGTTGACATGTTAGCTATTAGCGAGTTAGCCACCACAGCAGGATGAACACAATCAATGTGGTGGTGGATTGGACAGATATCGTAACTGCTAGCTTGTCTTTAGCTTGTTGGCTAGTGAAGCAATTTGGTAACAATCCAGAAATGTAGAAAAATATTAACTAAAAATAAATAAATAGTATTGAAAAAAACAGACAGAAAGGTCTCAGGTAAGTCCGTCAGATAACAGCAGGGTTAGCAAAATAGCTAAGACAAGATTTTGTTATTAAAAATATACAGAAAAGATTAGAAGATATCCAAAACCAACAACAAACATAATTCTCTTAAAAACACCAAAAACTAGTCCAAGGATGACTGATGTTTTTAAATAAAAAAAGCTTAAAAATTAGCCAAATATAGTAACTAAATGTTAGCAAAATATTTTAAATATGTTATTGTTACAAAATCATATAACTTATTTCTGCTTACTTTTAGCTTAATTTGAAAAAAAAAAAACATTCAAACAAAAACAAAAAATCAGGGCTACCTTCTGTCTTTTTTTTAATATTATTACATGAGTTGTACTGTATGTTAGACCAACAGTGTCAGTTCACTCCAATATCATGTAAATGCACTGACTCGCTGTTGTACCTGGTTCATCAAGATGGCACCAAAAAAAAAAAGAATTATACAATTCATATGCAGTACTACTATACTATACATTATTATAATTAATATATGTATTTATTTATATAATATGTGCGTATTTAGATGTATACTGTATATATAATTAAATATGTAGTACATATAAATTATATTACAGTTTTAAACTCAGCTGAAAAAAAACCCACCTTCACTGTCACGTTTCCCTGTAGTTTCTTTTGTAGTGTGGTTTTGGACGTTTCCTGTTGTTTGACTCCAACACCATCTAAAAAAAAAAAGTTTGTCACTGATTATTCATCTGTACTTTAGTCTGACTGCGCCACCTGTTCTATCAAGATTTTTTTCATGAGAAGTTTTCTTTATTTTTTTCTTCCAGTTCTATTTAAGAAGCACATGCAAACGCACCGCTAACCACTATGATTGATTACCTTATGTACACAGAACTGGATGTAGAGGACCTGTAACCAAGGCAAAGGTATTGTTGTATCTATTAAAGAAAACAAAAACTCGAGAGATAATTGTGCATTGTTTTTTGTTTTGTGGTGTAAAAATAAAAATAACATTTAACTAAAAAATATAATTTAACTAATATGTACTAATCCTGTAATCATGTTTTAGGACCTATTCTTGCAT